TGTTAGAAGCTGAACTAAAATCTGGAGTCAGGGACCCCTGTTTTTGTTGAGCTTTAGGGCTTCTGTCTGTGCACAGTTTTGGTATAACAGCTGGCTTGGATTCTACGGGTAGAGTGATCCCAGCTCCACTACTTCCCTGCATCCCTCCTCTGTACAGAGCTACAGCAACTATTGTCTCAAAGCTATGGCAGCAAATGATGAGGCTGTGTATGCTCTTCCCCCCCCTAAAGACTACATTTGAGACTTTCTGCTGAGAAGCTGCCTTCATGAGTGTGTCATGATGTTCTTGTGATAGAGCAGCTGAAGCCTGCTCTATCATGAGAAACCTAGTGCAAGGCTCAAAGCCTCAGGAGGCTGTTGCTTTTCTCTTAGCATCAGTCAGTGCTCTGTGGTCTACTTGGAGGCAGAGACTCTTCCATGTGCTGCCCACTCCGTCACCACACTCTAGATGTGCTGAGGCTTGACGAATCAGCACCTAAGGACCAGGGCCACATAGCTGCAATGATGCTTTTAGATGGTTAGGCCGTAAGACAAAATGTGCCAAAGCTGTATAAATACAAACAAGTTACTGTTCACTCAGTAACTTCATCATCTTGCTCTTTGAGTTTTAAACCGGAGAAAGTAACCAATGTGCTTTCTTCAAGCTAAAAGCACAGAGCTAAATTCAGAATTTTGCTTAGCTTCTACAGTGTTTTCTTTTGGCAGATTTTTAAACCCTGACATTGTGAAGCTGGAAGCTGATAAAAACTCAGCTTTCCCCAGAGGTCTCCTAAGGGCCCTGCTGAGGGCACGTGCCAGGAGGTGGATGGGAGAAGGATGAGAAGCTCAGTGACAGGCCTGTGGCTGCTGCATTCTAGCTGTGGGAGCTCCTATCCCCTGCCTCTTGGCATTTGTCTTGAATAAATTATTTCTCCTCAGCTGAGAAGCTGATAGCTGGGAACTGTGAACTGCTATTTCTGACAGAGGCAAGATCCCACCTCTGAGAGATGGACGGGCTTCTGCCAAGCCCGGAACACTGATGTTTGCTTCTCTAAGGAGCTGTTCCATCCTCCTCCAGACTCACTAGCTTTTGCTTCTTACAGAACTGCCAAGTTTGGACTATTTCTCCCCAGTTTTTTACTTTCACTGCCTTGCTGTGTGCACTTTCTCCTACTTCCAGCAGCAGCAGCAAAGCTGATCTTCCTTTTGTGTTTCCCCAGCTTCTCTTCTCAAGTGTTTGAAACATGCCAACATTGTACTGCTTCATGACATTATCCAGACCAAGGAGACACTAACATTTGTCTTTGAGTACATGGTGAGTTGTTCTTTATCTGTCTTCCTGTGAAGCTAGTACTGGGAAGTACTGGGAAGTGGCTGCATAATTAATTTACTGCATTAGGAGACATCTACAAAGAAACAAGTTGTAATCCTTTAGTGCAATGATTGATTTTCCTTCTTAATCTCATGCTTTCCAGCCACACAGCCTTACTCCTTTCTTTCTGTATATGCGACAGCTGTATGCAAAAATGATTCCACATCTTGTCTCCACTAGAGCGGCAGACACTATTTACCTCTATTTCTGCCTTAACAACACAATAAAAGTACTGTTCTTGAGCCGCAGCAAGGATAGGAAATAATGATATGAGCTCTTATCCCAGCTGGGGTCAGATTTGGCACTGACCCTGGTGGCTTACCATGACCAAGCTGCGGGTTGCTCTCATAGGGAGGGCAGGGTGTGAATAAAAAAAGTTCTCCACATGAGCCTTGCTACTTCTGCTGCTTTTGCTGATAGCTATCAACCAAATTATAAGGAAAATACAGGGGCTATGTCTTCTAACTGCAGCTCTATGATTAATTCTGGTACAAGTATGAATTCTGTTAACTATCAGCTTCGGGTCATAAACTGCTAGGGTAGGATAACAGGTCAGCCAGGTCCCTGATTTGACCCAGCACTTAAGCACATCCTTATGTGCTGCATCAGATCAGATGTTCACCAAGGTGAAAGAGACACCTTTGTAGTGGTTGCATATTTTTTCTGTTTACAGAAGAAGCATTGTTGGTAGAAGCATTTTACACTAGTAGCTTTGACTCAAGTTCTCTTTTATTTAGCACACAGATCTAGCACAGTACATGGGCCAGCATCCTGGAGGACTTCATTCATGCAATGTTATGGTGAGTTCCTTAAAAGACTTGTATCCCTTAAAGTGTGAGGAAGTGTTATTTTCCACTATGTACAGTCACTGTAACTTGCTTACTAATATTTATTTGTTCCATTTATGACAAACACTTTGGAGAAAAGCTGCCTTTGATAAAGATGTAACAACCTCCCTCTCAGTCTCCAAAGCCTTTTTTCGGTTAGTCCCTCTTCCCTTTTTCTGAACCTGTAAGAGGACATTCAATTTTTTGAACAAAGACATCTTGTGGCAAGCAAATCTGTCTCTGCACAAATTTGTATCCTCTTATCTTTAGAATACCTTATTAATCTCTCTAATTAAAACCCCTCAAATCTCACTCTCCCCTCATCTGGAACTATTTTCATATTTACAGTCATTTAAATCCCTTTTGTTTCTACTACAGCTTTTTGGGGTTTGTTGACTGGACCTTAGCACAGGTGAAGATGTACCCTTACTTTATAGACTGATGTTATAATAGTCTCCTACTCTCCTTTGTACGCATCTTCACATTTAATTAACTTTCGGGATTGTTGCTGCACACTGACTTAAGGTTTCAGTGCAGATGTCCTCAGTGAATGCCTGGGTCCTTTTCCTGAGCAGCTTCAGTTAATTTATCTCACAGCTGTAACAATAACTTTGTATCTTATCAAATTGCCTATTCATCTGACTTTGTCAGATCTCTCTGAAGTTCCTCACTGTCACTTCTTATCATGGCTAATTTAAATACTTCTGTCATCTTCAAATGTTGCCACCTTGTTCACATCTTTTTCCAGATAGTTGTTAAGCAACACTAATTCTAATGAAGTTTCTTGGGGCCTCAGATTTTAAACATCCTTAATGCTCAGATATCTCCAAGATGCAGTGTTGTAGTTTTGGCACAGATCTCAAGGGCTCTGCTACCAAGCGGTCTTGTAAAGCCCACGGAGTACATGGCTGTAACATGTACTCACTGGCATTTCTGTGAGTAAACACTAGCCAGCTGCTCTGCTTCCCTGTCCGAAATCCTCATTGTCAGCAGATGCTCCTTTAGGAGGATCATCTAGCTTGCTTCATTTTTTCTGTCAAATGTTGTTTGTTTTTCTCCAAGTGATTCCTATTGAATATGATGCAAGTATGCAGACTATTATAGGGACACTTTTCTGGTACAAAAATGACCTATGGGTGTCACTGTTTTTCCTCCTCTTCAGTTTAAGCTTTGGGTGAAAAATATCTTTTCTCTGGTGAAGTCTAATTACTTTTGCTGTGTTTTGTTTCTATCTACTGTCCAATTTCGTACCTTATTTCACCCCAACTTATTTTACTCCAGGCTTATTTACACTGCCATGGTGGCGGGAGTTAGATATTTCTTTCTTGCTTGCTTGCCTCATTCATCATATCTTATTTGCTACACCTGTTCAAATCAGGTCCTTGTGTTTTCTCCCAGCTCGAAGATAACAGTTCACATTGTGAAGTAAGTCAGTTCACTGGTCCAGCTTATACTGGGAAGGGGTGGTGTGTACAGAGGCTGCAGAACTCCCTCTGCTGGTGTCAGCTGGCTCTTATGGGCAAAACTTCCAGCTCCTTAAACCTTCATTTTGCTTGGCTGTATGTCTTTGTCTTGAACACTAAAATCAGAATATCTGCTGTTCTGAAATCTGGGTCTGTGTTTTGGAAAGTTACACTTGCTCCTGCAATCAGCAGTCCATTTCTAAAGAAAAGTTAAATTTCAAAAATGTGAATGTGCGCTTAGGGACTGCAATATAACTGCCCTCATGGCCAAATATTCTGCCCCGAAAACCTCAGAAAGCTGCAGAGCAATCATACCCCACCGCAGTTTTCTCTTCCTCAGCCAGCTCTACTCATTTTTGGGATTTTTACTGGTTTCCTGATTGCTTTGTCTCTGCTTTGTTCTAGGAGTTCTCCTGAAGTTCAGAGTTCATGTATTAATGCAACGTCACACAAAATAATTTCAGGTTTTTTGCTGACTTTTTCTAGCTTTTCATGTTCCAGCTTTTGCGTGGCCTGGCTTACATCCACCATCAACACATTCTTCACCGTGATCTGAAACCCCAGAACTTGCTCATCAGTTGCCTTGGTGAGCTCAAATTAGCTGACTTTGGTGAGTCACAGTTTGGATACTGCTAATCTATCTGCTCAGACCAAACCTTTAGGATGCGTATAGATCTGTATCCACAGCCAATTAAGGCATAAAAGCAAAACCTCTTACTGAACTTCAGGAAACTATTTCTGTGGTCAGTCCAGCCTTTCTTGCCATTATAGGTGCAGGGAGTAACCTCGTTTAAGTCAGAGCAATTACTACCACACAAAACTGTTTTAAGACAATTGAGAATCAACCTCTCTCTCTTCAGAAAATAATGTAACGTGTAGAGTCTACCGCAATGTGCTGAACCAAAATGCTTTCTTGGCGTTGGTTTGGGATGGCTGCTGCAGTCACAAATGTTAAACACCTGCAAAACACAGCATATTGCTTGATCTGATCTTATCTGCCCCAGAGGTATATTCCAGACACTTTCTTTGTCAATTGCTTGTAAACTGCTTTAGGGTTGCTTCTGTTTAAAGATCCAGGAGAAAATAATGTCCTGTTTCAAATTATTCTTATCTTTCTGTTGTACAGGTAGAAGGACTGTCCTAACATAGCAGGTTTGGGGTATTTTTGTTGGTTTTGTTTCTTTATTTGTTTGGGTTTTTAAATTCTTCAGGCCTTGCTTGTGCCAAGTCCATCCCCAGACAAACATACTCCTCTGAAGTGGTGACACTCTGGTACCGTCCTCCTGATGTGCTGCTTGGAGCTACAGATTATTCTTCTGATCTAGATATCTGGTACTGACCCATTTCAAAGCATCTGCGTCCCCTGGGAAAAATCTTCTTTATCTGAATTAAATTAAGTCAACCAAGTTAGAACAGATACAGTCGTAAGTAGAGGAATTAACGCCTGTGAGCAGAAAATGTGTGAGTAGTGGGGAGTTTTGTGCTTCTGAATTCATTGAAGTTTTTGGGAATGATGTAATTACATCTCAGCTATGGATTTATATAAACCTCATCTGATAATATTTATGAGATATGTATATCTCATTTGGTAACATTTATGAAGCATTTTCAGGTCTTGCAACAGAACGCCTTTGCTTAATGCACTTATTTTGTGTCTATGTGGTGGCTGAGTCAGCGGTAGCTGTCTACGGCAATGGCTTTGTGAAGAAACAATAGATCCACAACTGCACCAACAATGACTTTGGCCTTGGTAACAAAACATGGCATTAAAGGGTTTTTGAATGGGTCTGGAGATAGAAAGGTGTCTGAGATTTTAATTATTTCTGTGATACTTTGTCCGTTTTCTCAAAGAACATGTCTCAGATGCACTCTGCTTTTCATACAGGAGAAGGGCTGTGTTCAGTTAAATCCTTGTTACCTTATGAGCTCTATCCCAAAATTTTATGTGGCTGGGAATCACAGGAAGGGAGAGAGGTCTTGAGAGCAGGCAGAAAGCAGGACAGGATGAAGGCTTCACAGGCATTCCACTGGTCCTGGATGGGTAGCTAGACCCTAGGGTTCATCCGCCTTCTGGCTCACTTCTGCACCAGCCTGAGCCTGCTTCCAGCAACACAGTCCTGACTGACTCATGGCCAACATGCAGCTTATGAAGTTGCAGGAGACCATCCTTATTCTGGGCAATTTTACATCTGTAGATAGCATTGCTGCTTCACTCTTTCTTCAGACCAGTTAATTTTCTGCCTGTGCCTGTCACACCAGGGCTTTTCTTAACTGCTCTGCAGAGTCAAAGGCTGGGAAAGGGTGGGAGCACAGCAGGCTGAAGAATATGCAAGGCAGCTGGGTAAGTTTACAAACAGCAAAGCTCCACGTCTTCTCAGGCTGTATCCCCCTCCAGAGATCTGCAGCTTATCAAAGACTCCAATGGCCTAAGTCCGGAGGGCAGTTCAGTACAACAGGAGTTTTTAGTTTGTTCATTTCCCTAGGCCTGCTGCTAATTTAATTGCTTAAAGATTTCTCCAAGGGGGAAAACCTTGCTAAATTCTAATGGCTTCCAGCTGCTAAGCCAGTCTAAATAGTCCTGTCTTCTCTCCCCCACTACTTGTCACCTCTTCCCTCCAGACAGTCTCCCAGGAATGTCCGCTGAGTTTGAAGATGCTTGCCTAGCAGATTGGAGGGTTTATATTAGGCAGATGCTGGTATAAGCCTGTGTTTTCTTTCCTGAAAGTTGACCCCTGTCCAAAGCCCTGGCTATGCACAGAAAGCCTGGCATTTCTGCCTGTGTAAAACCAACATCACCGCTACATAACTCTGCTTTAGTGTAATGAATAGCAACGTAGCAGTGGTATACAAAGATCCCATCCAGCACTCTGACCAGCTCTAACAGCACAGTGCTCTCAGTCCCACGGAACTACATTCACACTGTAAGCACCTTTGTTATATAACCTCCTTATAATAACAACATTCACAGTGTTTGCCCTAAAGAACGATATCATGCTGAGAGAATAGAGAGTACTTCAGTGAGCTCTATTCAGTAACTTCCTCTAACAAGAGTCATTTATTATCTTGATGTACCCTGCATTTAAGTTCATTTTTTGTCTATTAGGAAATAATGTGAATTCACACAGATGTTACTTGTCTATTGGGAAGAAAGGAAAAAAAAAACCTATGCCTTTTGGATGCTGCAATTTACATGAAGGCAGGTCAGAATGCCCTTAGTAATGGCATGAGACAGTGGGTGTTAAAGCCTTGGTTTAAAGAAACCAATTATAACAAAATAAAACATTATGGCAATTCATGCATAGTGTGCTTGAGCAGCAATACTGTCAGTGGGAGGCACATGAGAAGTGAATGAGGCCTTGAATATGTGAAGAAAGATGTAGAAGGAGACTCACTCGCTCTTGGACTAACTAGAAAAGCTGCTTTAATCTCTCTGTATCTTTTTTTCTCTCTCTCTCTCACTATCTCTTCAGGACTTTACAAGATTCAATTAAGGGATTTCACAGAGACTAACGTTTCAGGGAGATTACACTGCATATCAGAAAGACTTTTTTTTTTTTTTTTAAACACCAAGTACTTTATGCACATGCTGCACTAGTAGCTGCTAACCTCATGAGTGCCTTAAGTCATGTCTTTTTTTCAGTTAGGCTTTCCTTATATTATCTTCCACACCAAAAAAAAAAAAAAAAAAAAAATTCCAGCCAGAATCTTCCAAGGTAGATTCATGTAGAATAGGAGTTCCCGTGCAGCCATTTAATGTGGACCTGCCAGGCCCACTACAGACTTCTCCCCATCCTGGTTCTCATTGCCCTGCTATGCCAAACTAGGAGATATAGGCTAAGGGTTCCACTGTACAGACCATGATTGGTGAGGAACAAGAGAAAGGATGTATTTCTGGTTAAATATAAAATTGCAACCTCCCAATGCCAGAAAAACTGTGGAGAGGGAACTGGGATGCCGCAGAGATATCTTAGATCTTAATCCTGATGAAGTCGTCTCTCCACTGTGTGACGCAGAACTGCAGGCTAAGGAGTAAGTGCAGTGTTCAAACCTGCCCCAGGAACTGCACGCAGATGCAGCTGTGCTGTCTGAACCAGCTCTGTTTATGCTCATTAAATATCCCTATGACCAGTTATACCTCTCCTATTACTTTAGCAGTCACTGCTTGATTGGCGTGCATATCTGGCACATGCTGAAACATCATGTCTAGGCCTCTTCCCGAAAGACCCCTCCCTCTGCCCTAGCTCTTCCCAAGGCAAATATATGGGACTGTAGACTTGAAGGGGTAAAACCTCAGAAATGAATATCAGAGGGGTAAGAAGGAAAAGGGGAAAAACCAAACAACACTGTCTAATTCTTTAAAAATACTTTAAAGTTAATGTTTTTCAGTCATCCTCATTAACAGAAGGATCCTCATAATGCTGTCAGAGCAGTAACTGTAAATCCCGTATCTCAGAAGAAAAGTTGAGGCCTCTACTGAAAGGCTAGTATGATGACTAGCACTAGTTTCCAAAGTCCTGCTGTAACAATGAGACAAAAATACCTGGGAAAAGAGGAGGGTGCTCATACATCAGTTGTTCTAGTTACTTCTAGGCTTTTTTTTTTTTTTTTGGTAAAGAAAAGCATATTTCTTCTGGAAACACACAGAGATAGAAACAGCCATAATTGCCACTGATGAATCAATACAGTATCAAGCAGGCGTTAAAGGCAGCTGGTCAGCTGAGTCTCATTACAGGAAACAAAAAGCCCTACCTTTCCAGCAGTTGTGGTTCCTCTGTTAGTTTTGTCTTTATTAGACACACTGAGGTTTAAAGGCTTCCAGAGATAATGGGAATAAACCAGGAATACAAAAGAGAGCTCCACCAGAAGGTACATTTGTAACAACCCACAAGTTGCTCCTCTCCTCAAACTGATAGCTTGCCTATTAGTGAAAAGACTGTTTCACTAGATTTGAATTTTTGAACTCTTTGCTCATGAGTAATTCTTAGCAAATGCTAGCTGAATCTAGGAAAAAACCCAGCTTTCTAGTTCTTACTTCTATTTATTGCTCTGTCTGGATTTCAAGCCTTCTCAGCAATAACAGAAACCATAGCAGATCTGGTTTTCTGTCTGCCATAAACTCTGTTCCCTTAGACCTTTGCAGCAGAGCAGTTAGGTCACAAGGACGACATTTATAGGACACTTTCACTGTTACTAGCCCCTTTTCCATAGTGACTGCTGTGTACTTACCTTCAGCTCTGTCCCCAAATCCTCAGTGTCTTAAATTCAATTTAGGAAACAACACAGCCAGCACTGTTCATTAGAAAGGATCTCTGTAGAAGGCTTAGCTGCATCTGTCTCATTTGGGGGCTGTAATGAATCCACACAAAGTTTCTGCTCTTGCCAATCTGATGGCCATTTGTAGCTAGGATATCAGAACACAAGCTGTGGGTGAACATGGGGATCATTTGCTCCAAAACCACATAGAGCTGATTCTCCCTACAAATCAAGAGTACCTAAATTGCTTTGACCATATACAGTTAAACTTGTGTAATGGAATCGGTGGATTACAGCAGCCCCTGTGGTTGCAAAATAGGGTGAGCCATTTGGGGATATACATCAGCTGTGAAAACAGAGGGTTGGTGTGACACTGATCTCAGTAGAATCAATCTGTGGGCTTCAAAATATTATCTAGTGATGTGGTAGTGCTATGAAACACACAAAAAAAATTATGTTGCAAAAGCTGTGGGTTAAGTTTCATGATGCCTGGACCCTGTAAGAGTATATTAGACAAGTAAGGAGCTAAGCTTACAAGTTGGAAGATTAAGGTACGGGAAGCTAAGGGAAAGTGCAGCAGAGATGTTTGTGAAAACAGCACCAAATATGGATCTGCAAACAGGCTTGGCATCACCTGATGCACAAAGATGACCAAAATTAATACCACAGATGAGTTGCATGTTAGGCTTTCAACTGACTACAGACCGGTGGGAAAAGCATCTACAGTATTGCAAAAACAAGGTGCAAGGAGTCACCTGTACTGCTGTGTTACCAGAAGAGACTACTAGTTGTAGCTCAGCAAGTGAAAATAATAGTTTCAGAGCCTGTTAGAAAAAGCTGCGTTTTCAACATTGGAAGTTAAAGGACTCCAATTTGCTATACCCAAAGAAGATTGAGACTGAAACCTGAAAAGTGGGGATGGGGCTTAGTGAAAGGAAAGGAAAACCAGGAAAAGTTTGGAGGAAAAAGATTAAAAAGTAAGCAAGCAGAGTTTCATGCCATACTATAACAGATTGAAATACATGCAAATAGTTAAATCTACCGTGATCACAACTATCTCATCATTATTGCCAGCAGGACCAATCCACCTTAGTAAAATTAAGCACTTTTGCAGGGTTCGGTGGTGTTGTGTTGGGTTTTTTTTAAGTTGTCTGGTTTGCTTTGGCACAGAGCAGGGGATGGCATAAGAATAAGAATAGTTTAACTTGCTGTTGTCACTGTGATCTTTATGCTATGAAATCTTGCCTTCAGTTTTCCAGTGAAGAGCTAATTGATTCTGAAGGTAAAATTGCTCTAGTGGTTAGTGCCTCTGTGTTCTTTGTGCATCTAATGTATCCTTCAACTACTGTGTAGTAGTTCCCTGTTTATCTTTCCTACTGTTATCACTCCAATTTTGCACCTTTGTCTCATGGAAAACAACCTCATATTGCACAGGCTTCTGCCATGACCATCTTTTATAGGTGGTTTTGTAACAGGATAAATTGAAAGAGACCTGAAACAAATTGTTTGGTACTTGAAAAAAAGATGGTGCATAGCAGGTTTCTTTTCTAAGGATATCACCTGTCTTGTCTTGCTGATGAAGGGTTGGAGTTTTTTTTAGTGGATGGTGCTGAAGAGAAAAAGGAGATGAGAACAGACTTGTATGGAACTTTGACTGCTTTATTTTTTTCTAAAATCCTGGAGGGGTGTGAATGTGACGTATCTCTGGTCTGCTCCCGTCCTATTTTACTTGTCAGCTTTTTAATTCAAGTCTTTCGATCTGTAGGATTTAGATGAGATTAATGTATGTACTGCATACAACTTTCAAGGCCAGTTGCAAGTACTTAGAACAATGCTGCAAGACCAGGGATGTGTAAGATGGCCCTTCCCAAAGGAAACCTTCCTGATTTCCCACAGTTGGTAGTTTTTTATAATGCTACAGCCTGCCTGCCACCATACTGTAGAGGTATATCAGTTTTCACTGAAGCCTGCGTTTATTTACATACACACAGACACCCCCATGTCCTGCCTTGCTTCACACACACACACAACCTGACCTGGTTAGAGATGTCCCTCCTTGTTGTAGGGGGTTGGACTAGATGACCTTTAGAGGTCCCTTCCAATCCAATCCATTCTATGATTCTATGACACGAGGTGGGTATACAATACCTATACATTGGACTGGTATTTTTCAGACTTGAGTGGCAATATATATAGGGTTTACAGCTTATATCGGGATTTCTGCATTTACAAATCGGGATTTCTAAATTTCCATTCCAACAATTATCTCTCTCCCACTCTCCCCTGCCCATCCCAACAATCATTGTATATGTCATGCATGTGAATGAGTTAATACCTTGGGTTTCTTGCAGGAGTGCAGGATGTATATTTGCTGAAATGATCCAGGGCCAGCCAATATTTGCAGGAACTTCTGATACTCACGAACAGCTGATGAAGATCTGTGCGGTGAGTAAAACATACGCTGAAATGGAAGAGAAAAAGAATCTGTTGTTCCAGCCCCCTACTTAATTTTGAAGTCCTAAGCATAGGTCCTGTGAATAGCAGAAATAATTTGGTCCAATCTGCCAGGTTCATAGCAGACTTCGTAAACCATTTTATATTTGGCAACTTTCTTACAGACACAGAAGTAAATCAAATTACGTTCCTTTGATGTTTGTCATCTCATCAAAAATTTAAAGCCAATTAAAGTGACATCAAATTGAAGAAGGCATAAAAGGTGTGCAGGTACTGCAAATTCTATTCCTTCTTATTAAATCCTTTACTTACTGTAGGATACAGCACACCATATTCTCACAAAGGAGCTCTAATACTGCTCTTAAACTACCTTGAAAATGGTAAGACCCTGAAGTTTTTCAGAGATCCTTCTTCATTTTAACTTGGAGCATTTTGTATCATCCAGTTTACATTGCAGCCCTAGAGACTGCTTTGGCATAATGGAAAGTGTGAAATTATTTTATGAAGGCAGCAGTAGGTGAGAGCAGACGTATTCAGGAGCCTCTTAAGCCATTTTTTTCTGCTGGGGGAACTGAAGCACAGAGCCATGTCCTTAGTGTGGCTTGGTAGACTTGAGGCAGTTACTGGCACTAGTGGATTCTCTGTGTTCCTGACTGCTCATTGCTGACCCTGTTACTGACTTGACAGGAAGGTCAACCTATAGATTCCTACGGGGTTTTGCTGTAGGTGTCTGCCCTTTCACATCTCCTGCCAGGGATTTTCTCTTCTGCATAGAGTAATTCCCAAACGTGGGTTTTCAAAGGAGAAAGTACAGAAAACTGAAACTTGGAAAGTGGTGGGAAAGGACTTTATAGTCTCAAGTCTGTGTACGTCAGATTTTTCCTTCTTAATCACTTCATCCAGAAACACTCCTGCCTGGTAGGGTTTTCCTCTCTGCTTTTAGCTAGAATGTGATAAAAATTCAGACAAGTGGGTCCAGTTCTTAGACTTGAGTTCGGTCCATTTAAATAGATACTGAATTTCTCTTTCATAGAGAGTGGGGAAAAAAAAAAAAAAAAAAGAATTATTGAGGAAAAAAAAATATCCATGCTTGGCCAATTAACAGGGTTCAAAGCCAGGGCAGGGACCAGTTTCCCAGAGTGTGAATGAAGGGTATCCTTCCACTTATGGCTCTGAAATCTCTGGATACATTCCCTGTGGTTTTGCAGTTGGGGGGTTATAGCCCTATCATCATTTTGCTGGTATTATAACTAATACCGTGATTAATAGGATTTGTGCTATAGAAGGCAAAAAAAACTTATTTAAAAATCATGAGGAAGCTTTAAGAGCCACAAAATAATTAGTGCCTTTCACAGAAGGTTTTATGTTATTATACAGCCTGGAATGAGGCTTTGTGTTAGGCCAAGATTTCAAAGCTCCTTAGAGGCTTTCGATGCCTAACCTGAGATATTTTGCCAAGTGTGAGGTTCAGAATGAGGATTCCTACTGTTTTCTAATAGTCAGTTCCTTTCATGTACTAATAATAGAGGCACCCTGCACTGGTTTAGAGACAGTGTGCGTTTGTGTGCATGAGTCTATATCACCTAGCATGCTTATCTCCACATATGACTGTTAGTTCGAACACTGTATAGATATATGGCTGGAAAATTCTGTGAAATGTGTTTGTCCTGTTCAATCATCAGGACTGACTGTCATTTCACCAACCTTTCTTCTAGAGGCAAATGCCACCTTGAGCAGTCTCCATCCCCCATCTCTATCCCTGGCTGCTCATTCTTGCTCCTGTGTCACCTCTCATATGTGGGGACTACATGAACTGGGGAACCTATGACTTGGTTTTCTCCCTGGGTTACTCTAAATGAGAACAATTTATTTACCCAGTTCATCATCTGGCTGCACAAACATTAGCACTAATTACCAGTAGTACACATGAAGGGATGACACAGGAGCAGGACCAAATGGGAAGGCGATGAAGAGGAAGGAGCTACTTAGGCTGGTATTGCTAGTTATGGAAGTATGGCCTGAGTGAATGCACACTACAGTCTCCAGCTCTCTCATGATATCGAGAGTAAGCAAACCTGACAATCTTAAGATCCATAATTCAAATTTCAAGAGATCAGGCATAGGTTTTGAATCCAAAAACTCCATCTTATTGATTAACATTGTGCCAAGAAGGACTTCATGTGGGCTGGGTTAGGCTGCAGCATGCCACCAACGTGCTCCTGTGGCTGAGCCAAACACGTGACAAGTACCAAACGAATGACTACAAGGATTCTCTACATAAAACATAAAATATAACTTCCGAACAAAACTAAGCAAAATCAGCTAGGTTGATTCATTCAGCTGGTTCATCACAGAAGAAGCAAGCAGTTAGAAGGCAGAGGACACTGATTTATACCAACTGAAAGCACTTGCTGAAATACCGGCATTGTAAATATGTTTCTGGCTGAAACTATGCCTCTTCCAAAGTGGACTGAGCTGAACTGCACCAAGACCTTTCATCAAACAAAAAAATGCCTGCCTGGGGAAGCACAGCAGAGTAACAACTATGGAGAAGCTGTTTTGCTTTGTCTGATGGCATGGATCAGAGAGTTAACAGCTACATTTAGGGTGTACACAACAAATAAAACAATCCCCAGAGTACAATGAATTTCAATTACATAAATACAAATCCTTGTCTGATTTGGCAAGGATCTCATTAAAGGTCTGGGAATGAGGGGGGAAGAAAAGAAACAAAAAAAATCACCTGCCCCATTACCTTGACAATTCAAAACCAGATCCAAATTCATGAGTTGGAGTAGCAACTTTTGTAAAGAAAAGACTTAGAAAAGATAAATATAAATCCATATTCATATGGCATTCAGTGACTGGTGCTCTGAATGCTTTCACACCTCAACTCAGCAGAATTTAAGCGTTTGCTGAAAACCTCATGTAGCAAAGTACAAGCATACACAAATAACTGATCTCTAAAACTCTTCACCAAAGAGGCAGAGTGCTGAGCTGACCCGGGAGAGTATGATTTTACTGTGTACTGAACTTCCCAAGCTCACTCTGATGCCTTTAGGACTGATGCCCGATGGCTCACAAGAAACGTTGAAGAATGGGGGCCCAGATGAATGCAGGGATGGCACTTCAGGACACACTCCTGGATTTTCAATGCAGAATGTTTTAGAGGTTTTGCTATGGCTTCCTGGAAAGCTAAGAGGGTAGCAAAAGAGAACAATTTCTGGATTTAGGTTCAGATTACAACCCTCTTTCCTGTGCACACTGAGCTGTCTTTGGGCAGACCTGCCCTACTTACATGACACACACACCAATCAAGAATGCATCCTCATCCAGAGCTGTCAAATTACCTTTGGTGAAAGGCACCTTCCAATATCTTCACATGACTGGATGCTGCAAGACACCTTCTCTTTGGGGAAATTTGAAGCTTCCAAGACTGATTTTACAGGTGAGCAGAGACAAGGGTCCTACTCCTTCATCTTTGCTATGGCAGGCTGAGTCCATAACCAGTTCTGAAACATGGGCCACAGCAAGCCACCTTAGATTGCTTCTCCCCACAGACCACCATGCTAATATGTGCCAGCTGCGAGATGCAGCCCCTGCTTGTGGCTGTCTTTTCCAGGTAGCTGTAATTGTCCTCACCACTGTTTCTCAGCTGTGAGTGAGAAAAGCAATCAGCTACCAGGTGTGTAACAACTGCAACAACCAAGCTTTATATTTCTTCTTTCTTTAATGTGTTTTTTTTTTACTGACGCCTGTTTTCTTGCAATCTTATCACAAGTTTTTGTGAGGCCAAGTTCCCCATATCATATATCTCAGCTTTCACTTTAAGGAAAAGGAATTGTCTGTCATATGCAAAGTGTAACTAATATGAGACAAATCTAATGCTGGAGAAGAGAAAGTGAATAAAAAACCCTGACATTTTTAATGTTAAAATTTCACAATTTTTTAAGGAAATCTGATAATTTTAGGGGTTTTCTGGATGATAAGCTTTGAATGCTTGGAGTTAGCAGTACTGATTTATAATACCCTATCACATGCTGTGAACTCTTCTTAAATATGTGGCTTTACCTCTTTAGTGCAACTCATCCTTAGCAATAGGCACAAGGCACTTTGCATGTGGTAAGTAATAATAACACTAAACAACTGGCACAGGAATCCAGATATGCTTGATCTCACACATTTCAGCAACTAAAATGAGGTTGGAGGAGGCTTTACTGGCCCAGTCTTTGCTCAGTGAGGACCTACTTCTGAAGCCCACAATTCACAGTAAAGACCAAAGACACTGCTGAAGCTCTGGACCCTTCAGGATGAGACACCAGACTGCTTTCTAGAACCTGCCAGTAGACCTGTCTGCCAGCTTTTCTTTTTCACCTCAGAACAGCACGGGTTTCTATCACAGCTCACAGTCTGTGCTGCTGCTGAGCCTATCGGCTGCTGCCCATGCCAGTGGGCAGAATAAGTCCCCAGTGCAGCTCTGGCACAGGAGGACACCTTCAATGGTAAAAGGGGCTCAAAAATGTGACCTCTGGGCAAACACATGCAGGAGTGGCATGTGGCAGTGAAGCTGCATATGCCTTCACTGGTGTTCCCAGCAGCAACAACATTCAATCTCAGCAGGACCCTTTCTGCTATAAAATCAAGTGCTAAAATGTCAGTGTCCTCTATCCAGCACCAGCCAGGGCAGCGTGAATTTGTGCTCATTTACAGTAGAGGCCAGACTCTCTCCATCGAGACCAATTCCTCCAACTCCACACCAAGGCAGAGTGCTGGCAGACAGAGGTTATTGCTCTTCTCACTGTCTTTCTTGTTTTGCACAGGTATTGGGATTTCCAACTGAGGACACCTGGCCAGGACTTTCCAAGCTCCCCAACTATAACCCAGGTAGGATTTAACTCACAAGAATGCCGTCTTTTTCTCTGAGCCACTAGCCATTCAATTTTTGGGTCAGTAATTCCCATTATGAAAAATCCTGTGCTTCAGTGTTACTAAATCCCTTAAGCTATTTAATGATAGTGTTGTAGGACCTACAACAATACTGGGATTGGCCTAGTATACAGGTAAAGGTACATGCATGGCAAAGTTGCCTCACTGAACGCTGGGTATATGTTAGGCTGATGGAAGATTTCATTGCTGCAAGTGCTAACAATGTAGTTAGTCTCCACTCCTCAGTGCAAAGGACCAATGTCTCCTGGTTTAGACTGGAAAAGCTGACAGATACTGGAGACACAGTTTATCTGAACTCTCCTTATTTTATGGAGATTGGTTTGGGGGCCTTTAAACCTCAGTTTTAAAGGTCATTGTCCCTGATTTTGATGTAGGCAAGGTGAGAAATCTGTGTGATTTATAAAGCTAGCTTCTTTTATTTCCACACGGGCTGGTAGAGAAGTCTGTGTCCTGGACTTCAAAGGGCCAGTTGTTTCTTATTTTGATGTGGGCAGGTTGAGAAGTACGCTTTGAAAAGCTAGCTCAGTCACTCTCCCTCTCTCTCTCTCTCCCTTTCTCTCCTCTTTTTGTTTAATGTTTTCTCTTGGGAAAATATATTCAAGTGTCAGTAAGGGGGAAATGATGAGCACTGATTCTCAGCCTCTCAGCAGGATTGTTCTGTAAGAGAAATATAAAAGTGAAATATTAAAAACCCTAGAATGTGAAATCCACCCATCTACAATCTAGCCATTCTCTCTCACTTGTACCCTAAGAGAGTGGTGGGGGGAGCCTGTCTATCTGGAAGGGGGAAAAAAGAGCAGGGGGGAGAGGAGGAGGGAGAAGACGTGCTTTGAGCAAGAGGTTTACAGGTTTAGTAGAGCATAGTAACATCTTTTCAAAGAAGTGGGTGTTGCTCTGTGACCCAGTCCAAGATGCCCCTCCTTTGATTCTGGTGCATGAACACTAAACAGCCCCCATTTTCACATGGTAGCTGGGACTGGCTGAACAATAACCTGGTCTCACAATCGAAAGGACTGGAATCCTTCACACAATTAGCTGAGACACATTAATCAAACCAGCGTGAAATGGGAATGTGTCGCTGTCCACAGCAAGTTTAATTTGGATAGGGGGCAAGCACAGAGCAGACAGCTGGAGGAAACAGTTTCTTCTCTAAGTTGTTGAAGGCCTGACTGGGTAGTCTACAAGTTGGGAAGGGTAGTCTGTGAGGAAAAAAATGCTTGTGTGTGGGACAAACTGATCACAAAGAATATTTTTTGTGCCAGTAATCTGCTTATACAAGGCCAAAAATTCTCAGCGATGATGATTAGGTATCCCGATGCTATATAGAGGGACCATCTAAAAGTGCAAGCATTAAGGCTACGCTAGCAAATAAACTGTACAACAACAAAGAATGTGTGAGTGCCCAAAACTGCCCTAAGTGGTGACTCCTGCTCAGCTCTATTGTATCTGTGTAGCAGTGCTGTCCTCTGCTGCTGTGGAGGGTGCCAGTGGCATGGCTGGGAGGGAGACAACAGGCACCTAGGCAGCATGGAAATAGCTCTGGTAAAGACAAGTCTAGTTATCATAAGCAATTTTCAATCCTGTGTTGCTTTCAGGCTTGATAAAAAAATGCCCTAATTGACTTCAGTGGGACAGAATTGGCCTGTGCTGTGATGCTGGTGCCTTTTGTGGCTGGAGCAGACAGAAATGCAGGAGTTAGAGGAAACCTTCTTGTGGGAGCATCCCACCATGCTAGGAAACACATGGGAGAGGGGTGCTGAGCCATTGTTTGGGGAAATAGCTGTGTCAGCTGAAGAGGCAGCATCCCTTTCCCCTCCTCAGAGCCTGCCTAAAGGGCTCCGAGCTGTTCCAGCCATGTACGGGAACCAAGCACTTAGCTCATACCTGGATTATACAAACCAGTCTGGATAGAAGCAGGTTAGTCATATAAGGTTGGACTATTTGCCCTAGTCATGAACTAAATCAAGTCAGTTTTTGATGGGCCTGCTGGTAAGAAGTCTCTTTGTTTAAAGCTATTTGCCATTCACATGCTCATGTGCACTTCCCCTCTCTGCCCTGAAGCACAAGTGCTGTTTACCCCCCAAGGACACGCTCAGACCAAGTGGAAGCTGTGCAGTCTGCTCTGAGAAACTTCTCTCTTGAGGTTATTTCCAGCCTGCAAATCTGAGTGCCTGGAATGGTTCAGATAAGCAAACAAACTTTGGAGCGTTTCCCCAAATCCGATGGCTTGAATGCTTTTAGCTAGTCCTATTGATGTTCGCAGTGAGCGCAGGCAGCAAACAAACAAACAGGTTCCTGCCCGAGGCAAGGAACGAACACGGGCAAAACAAAGCACTGAAGTGTGATCCTATTCTCATTGAAGTTTATGGCAAAACTCCCACTGGATTTAGCAGTGTAGGCTCAGCCCCAGACTGAGGTTGTTACTGGAAGGGTTCCTGGGCCAGGTGGGTTTAGTAGGAATCTTTGAAATGAAAGCTGGAAACCTTTAGATGTTTTTCTGTCACTACTGTGGGCTTGAGCACATCCTGCTGCAGAGTCTGAAGAGGAGATATGGCATGGGCTGTGGGGTCTGTGAGCCATGCAGGGCAGCTGGAGGAAGAGCAGCTCCTCTGCCCCCTCTATGGGCAACTGGCAAGGGATGAAATGTGCAAAGGAATATTTGACCACCCTACGCCGCTGCGCCTTCTTGCACAAAGAAGTTCAGAAATGGGCCTCATGCCCATTGCCTACAGTTTGCCAAAATCTCAACCTCTGCCTGACCCCACGTGAAGAGGAAGGATGGGTGAGAACTCTTCCTTGGCCAGCCCTACAGCTCACCCCCTCTCTGCAGGAGAAACACTTGGGGTAGGGAATTACACGCACCTGGGGCCTGAAAGATGGTTTTACCCCATCCCTGGCTTGAGAACCATTTCCTGCAGAACATGAAGGCTTAGGAGAGCTCCTGCCCATGTCTCAGCACATTCTCCCTGGCCCTCTCCCTGGCTTTCCAGGCTTAGGAGCCCTGCCCATAGCGACAAGGCTTTTCCCTGTGTTTGTTCATTTGTTCTGTTCCCCTCATTTTGCTTCCCCTGAAAGAGGCAGTTGTAGCTCTGTTAACACTATTTTTGAAAGCTCTCATGCTGTGTGAGCTCAAATCCTTGCATTAATCTACTGCTGTGTTCATTTCACTGCACTGAAAAGCAGGGAGTTTAAATCCCCTCTAAACACCATTGGTGACACCAGAAGGCCAGTGTTTTGATCCAGCCCCATTAATGGTTACAAGTTTGAATCTAGACAGCAGGGGTCAAGGGCAGGAAAGGATTAGGAATCACAGCCCATGACATTAAGCTAGTGCTTTTGCCAAACTGGGAATACTGGAGCGCCCAATGTACTGAGTTGGGGTTTGTTTCCTTTTTCTGATGTTTGGATTCCAAAGAGTGGGCAACAGTGCTTATTTGTTTATAACATGATGAACTGGCTATCAGTGAGCTTTACTCCTTGATTTATCACACAGGCTGACTTAGTGAAGTTTCCTATGCCAGGTAGTACCATCTCACTTAGGAGACCCAGGCTTTACACTGGGCTTTTTCAGTTGCAGCAATGCCTTTTAAGTTAAGCCTAGTTTTTCACATATGTGCAGGCGTTGCTACGCTGAATGAGATTTAGAAGCTTTCCAGAGTCAACTTCTGCTCCCGAGTACAGATTTTTGTATCCGTTGCGTTTCCAAAATGTCACCAGCAGATGGAAGCAACAAGCAGTAAGCTCTGAAACGCAAACTTAAAATGCGTTTTGAAAATGCAGATGAAGTCTGCACTCCGAGTCCTTTTTTTTTTTTTTCTTTTCTTTTCTTTTTTATCTCACTTTTTATGCTGATGCTTCATTTAACAAATGGGATGGTTGGAAACTGAATTCTAAAACGATGAAAATTTTATTGTCATAATAAACTGCGTGTGGCTTTGATCCCAAAGGGAAGAGCAGCACTGTAACTAATGCGCAATATATGCTGGCCAGGCTGTAAGGAAACTTCCTATCTGTCTGGCACTGGGCACAGACTGCAGATTCCAGCCTGCCACACAGACAGAGCTCTACTTCTGTCCTGCAACCACGGAGACTTTGCTAATGAGAGAAGTTTTCTCTGTGAGCCTGCAACCCCAGCACCTTCATCCAGCAGCACTTGACATCCTCTTTCTCGCTCTTCATCAATTAGGAAAGTTTAACTTTTGTCCTCTGGCTTGTGTGCCTCATTATCAGTTCATTAGCCACTTCCACCTGGGTTTTCACAGAGAAAGGTATTTCCTCATTAGCACACACTGCCTTGCATATGGATAGAAAATAACAAACCCAAGCACTTCCTTTCAGATCTACTCCTATTGCTAAAAAAGCCAATCAATCAGCCCTACAGAATCCCATCATTTTATGTCTATATCATCATTGAAAGAGGATTAAATCAGTAGTTCATCCACTTTTTGGAATGGCATCCAAATATTCTTTATGTCTTCCCTTTAAGGAGTAGCTGCTTACATTGTTTTACAATTGGTTTAGATTGGTCTTAATCTTACAGTAGGGAAAATATTTACTGCTCTGTTCTTACCCTGCTCGACACAATGGGGCCTCAGCATTCTCTAAGGGTTTGCCTATAAGGGGCCAGTCAGGAGATTAATCTGAACTGATTTAAAGTGGATTAGTTAACTGCATTAATTCCTTGAGCAGAGACACACTGTTTTCTTACCCATATCTTCCATTTATAATCAAAGCTCTGTATACTCAAAGTGGCAAGTTTGGCAGTCCTCACTCAAGCAGAATTCTCCACTGAGAGATATGTTTGGACAGGGACAGCAGTAGTTGGCTCACTGGCTCTTACACTACCCCTTGTAGATAATTATTAATCTCTATGTTATATAAATGATAAATTTAAGTCAATAGGCTTGCTCAAGACAGCAAAGATTATAATTCAGGTATTCCTCCCAATTCCCAGTAAGCAAGCTGGTATTTCTATCTCTAATGTAAAGAAAATCCTATTTCCTCTTTGGAATGTTAATCCTGAAAATGCACTCCACAAAAACAAAGGGACATTTCACTTAGATATTATTGAAGCATTTTGCCCTGCTGTTATCAACTGAATGTGCATTTTTCAACTTTTATGTCAAACTCATTAAAGAATATTAATGTTAAAAGATTGCAGTAGAGTTAAGGTACAATATTTAAGTCATCTTGACATTTTTATTAAATATTAAAGGAAATTGATATATTGTCATGGAATGTTTCCATCTCATAAATCAAAATTTTCTGGCAGAAAGTTACAACATCTGAAAGTTTTTGGCTAGCTCTGTCAACAGGTAAAAATTTCTACCTCGTATAAAAAATTCTTATGCCTTTCCAAACCATTTTTAAAATTGTTTTTCTTCTATTCTGCCTGCATAGTTTACATCTCTACTCAATATGGACAATTTATTTCTACACTTTTATTACAGTTGAGGGGGCAAAATGAAGGAAAGAGGCTCCAGAGAAACTAGAGAAATGTTATTAGTGATCCAAGAGGAATGTTCTGCCAGAGTTAACTTCAGTTACTGATTTGGGAAGGGACTGTTCAAGATACTAATATATAACTTCTATATATTGGCAATAATTCCAGTGCTCTGGCACCTAAACAGTCATGAATCCTGTCCCAGGTTATATTGCCATTTACTGCTTTAGCAATTACCTTAGTATTTGGGTGCAGGAGAACACTTCAATTGTGAACTGTTACTTACCCTGTGATAGACAGGTTTCACAAACTGCTTGCCTGGCTTAATGGTGAAAGGTTGTTGCTGGAAAGGTTAAGTGCTGAAAGTTCAGTCATTTGCACTTTTTCAAATTGTCTGTGCATCAAGTCAGACACTGAGTGACCGAGCCCTTGGGCCTGGCACTCTGGAAATGGCCACGCAGGCAAAGGCAGGGGTGACTCCCACTTTGCCTGCAGCCAGCAGCTTCTGTCCCTGAATGATGCGGCTGGTGCTTCCAGGCAGGAAGGGAGGGCAGGTCCTCTCGGACAGTGCAGCAGAAGCCCCTGCTGAGCTCCTAGTCTACTGGCAACAGACCAGCAGCACTTGCCTCCTGGTGATCTCGCTGCTGTGGGGAATGCTTGTCCAAGTTGTGCTGGAAGAGACGTCTACACCACCCTTCCTGCTCTCCTTTCCATGGCTAGAGTACCGTTCATTGCTGCAGTCAGAAATGGTGCTCAGGAAAATGTAGCTGGGTAGAAATTACAGCCTTCCTGGTGCAAGAAAATGTCTCTGTTGGTCAGCTCCAAGGGGAAACCTTCCAGTCTTAAGCCATTGATTCATATCTAAGCCTGAGAAAAATCATGCTTTGTAAGAAAACATTTGAGGAATGTATTCCTCTACATTTTCCACAATGTTTAGAAATATGTCCTTGAAAAATGGCAACAACACAGCCTTCCCAAAAATGCAAACTGTGCAAAGTTTGAGTCTGGTAGAGATGTTTGAGTCAGTAAGTGACAAGAAGAGAGTGGGACCCAAGTGCCTTTGCTCCATCCCCAGTCTTTCTGCCAGATCCATGCAGAAGAGCCCTATGTGCCCACAGGGCAATACAAGAAGCTCAGCAGCCCCTTGGTAAGCCAAGACAATTGCTGGGGATTCAGGCCTGCAAACTCTTTCTGCTTCCTTTGTGTGAAAGCTTTAGGGACTGATACTGCTTTTATTGAAGTAAAACCTAAGACTCGCACTGTAACAGAAGGAGGCCCAAGGCCTATATTCACAGATGTATGAAAGGAAAGGGTTACAGAACTGGAACAGCCTTATTAACATCAATGCTGGTACTCAAGTCCTATAGGAATAATGTATATTTATAAATACTAAGATGACAGATTCTATAGGGCCCTTTGAAATTCTCAGCACATGTTTCTTGTAAGGGCTCAAAGAATGGGTTTTGGCTTGATTTTCATTTAATCCTGGGATTGCATATTACACTTTCTAGAACTGGTTGCTTCTAGGAGACCTCAGAGACTCCGAGTCATCTGTGACAGGTAAGCTACCTATAACGGCAATGTCAAAATCGCCTCTGGGTTTATTTGTTTCTTTATGCAATCATTTAACTTGAAATGAGCTCTTTTGGCAAGCTCAGGAAGAGCGAGATGGCTCTGTAGTAACAAGCAGATCTAACATCAGTTAAGCAACTGATTTCGAGAGATAGCAGTAGAGGTAGGCACATTGTGGGTTTATTATTCTCAGAGGAGTAGTGATTATTCTCAGATAAGCAGTGATTCAATGACATTATGAGCAGCTTTTTGCGGGGCACAGTTCAATTCAGAAGGTTGTACTTTCCCAGGCCCTCTTGCCCAGACTGAAGACAGACTTTGCACTGTCCCAGTTTTCTGGAAACAGACTGTAGGAACATTGCTCAACAGTGGTAAGGAAGACGTGCTAGGACAGCATTTTCACGAGACAATGAAATAATCTTGTGATTAGTTAGGAGGGGAAAAATCACATTCTTCAGTATCCAAAAGCAATGAGACTAGGGCTGTGGTTACATACCTCAGCTTGACCAGGCACACCAACACCACCCAATCACTCCCTAGTGTGCCAAGAGAAGGGAGTATTTTCCAAGCATATATATATGTACACACACACATACATAACGTATACATGTATCAGTGAAAGAAATTTATAATCAGGTAAAGTGCCCTAACCTAGGTCAGAGAGTCATTAAAATCAATTCCCCCCCCTATACTGATTTTGAGGCACACAACAGGCTTTAGAGATATGTGAGATATGTAGGAAGAGATTAGACAGGACTTGTCCTCATGATTGTGTTCAGGAACAAGTCAAGAATCAAGTATTCTTTGAGGACATAACCCTATTTTTCATCACTGCTGTTTATTATCTGTTCAGCTCATTGCTTAGGATCCAGCCCTACTTGGAGAGAAGAGTGCTGCCCTTCAGAGCTGGGTTTCCCTGCTGCTGTTCTGAATGGCTGAACAAACACGCTGAAGTTTTCAGCAAAGCACAGGTTGCTGAAATGCCAGCAATTGGCATGCACATCTTCAGAAACAAAGCTCAGCATGTCCCAAACCCTGGTAACACAGGTCCTGGAACAGAACAAATCCTCTCTCAGTCTGAACAAAGAAGTAACTATATTCCTTGCAACTCTGCTGTATTGCACTTCTGCTTTTTGGCCGTAATCCCTTCACAGGCCTCATTACAGCCCCATACCGATGGGTCGGCCCAGCGCCTCTGTGGCAGAGCTCTGGGCTGTATGTGGGCCAGCTCCAACTCTGCCTTACAGAGTTCCTTACACTGGTATGGCCGAATGGCTGCCTTGGTGTGCTTGGCTCTTGAGAAGGAAAGAGCTGCTTCATACGGACCACTCAGCCATGACTCTTCATGCCCAATTAAGAAATCAAAGAGGAGCTCTGTGCAGAGCTTGGCCACCATCAGGAAGCCTGAGCCATGGTGGGAAGCACTGAACCATGTTGCTGCCCAGTGTGGGAGCCTGCAGCAGCAGGGATCAAGGGGGCAGAGGGTCTCCAGTAAGACCCTGCCATGGCAGGGGCAGCCTGTGGTGCAGCTCTAGCAAGTGGCCTCAGGCTGGATGCTTTGGCTCCTTGTCCCGTCCCTGCACCCCAAGGCAGCAGGGGTTGAACCGTTTTGCTGGAGGTAAGAATTCAGCAGTTACGTACCACAGTGAGGCCAGACACCTTTTATAAATCTGTTTCTCAGGATATCTCCCTCTCTCTCTCTCTGTGTTTTTCCCTTATTTTTTTTACATTTTATCTCCTCAATCCAAAGAAGTTAGCATGTCAAATGTCCCCTGTAGGGAGGGGGCATGCAGGGGCAGGGGGATCGCAGTGCCTGATGCCACTTGGAGGGGAAGCACCAGTGGGGGCGAGGGAGGAAGCACAACAAGCCATGCTCTGATGGGCCTCCTGATGCTGAAACATGATCAGAACAAACAAACAAAGTAAAAGCTGTAAAACTAAATTACTATTTTTATTTGCTTCCTTGTTGGTTTGTTTTCTCTCTTTCACTTCCTTGTCCCCAGCTGTGTGCTCCTCTAGAAAGCAGCCTCTTGGCATTGGTATTTGCTGGGCATGAAGCATGTGTGTATTACATCTATTTTAAGCACTCATCCTGAGAAACAGATTCATCTCTGTGAATCCCCAACACATTTTACAATGAGCTGTACTACTGGTACTAGTGTAGGAAAAGTGGAAATGGTATTTTCTGTAGTTTTTTAGTTTTGTCCTCTGGTCTGCTCAGTAGGCCAGTCAGGTTATTTTGTGCACTTGCGTTGTCACTGTAAACTGATAACATCAACCTTTGATATTCCAGTTATGACATGTAAAATATAGTCTCCCCAGCAACATTTTCCCTTTTACTGACAACCTTCTTTATAGAAAATAACAATTTATTTTCAAAATTCCTCTGAAAACATGAGTTTGAGCTGAAATCCTGGATGCATACACTCCAACATAACCAAACTCACATGGAAAAGCAAATATCCTGCAAAGCTATGTAGCTGGGGTGGGTTTATCCAGCTCCCCTGTGTCCCTCCACTATCTCTGCCTCAAGCTCTGAGAAGGCTTGGGTCAAATTCTGGTTCCATCTTTCTGGCTTGTGCTCATCTCCTATGCTATTTTTTTTCCTGTTTTCCTAGGCTGAGCAGGGTGCCAGCAGCAGAGGATTTGGCCTCCAGGATGCTTACAGCCTTCCCTCGAGGCCGGATCTCTGCGCAAGATGCACTTCTTCATAGCTTTTTCAGCCCTCTGCCTCCTCAGATCTATCAGGTTCCTAGTGGTAAGTTAACTCATGATTTTATCTCACCAAGAAAGAGGTACTGCACATGCTATTTATTATGAGTTTCTTCTGTACTTTGAAAGTCTCTGCCATTCACCCAAACATGTCTTTTCTGCCTGCCCTCCCTCCCTCCCCACTCCCGTATGCTCAAAGTTTACATCCCATTGCAAATTTGATAGCTTGTTTTTCTGTTTTCTTCCGCTTGACCACAGCGTTAATATTAGAAGGGGACCTGGGTGGGCTGCCACCATGGTACATTTACAAAGCGGAGGTGTATATGCTTTGACAGGTTTTCTCCCTTGGTCTGTAACCCCAGAGGCCTGGAGCTTTCCCTCGGCCTGGCTCACACTATGTATTCAGTGTAACTCACATGCTAGTCCCTCCTGATGTCCTGAATTCCCAGCTGCTCAGCATGATGTGCTAGCCCCAATTCGCTTGGACCACTCCTCCTGCTGCCTTTTGATGTTCAGAGAAAACAGCTGTTCCTTGTACCCTGTTGCACCAGTTCTCCCTCAGTTTTACCTGCTTTATTTTCTTTTTCCCTTGCTCCCTTCTCTTAAGAGCACAGCTGCATACACACAGAGCTATCTCTCCTGCCCTGAGCTGACAATAAATACGGGGTCTCTCAAGCTACAGGTTCTGTTCCTCACTAGGAAAAGCTTGCTCATTTTGGGCAACAGGCCAGAGAGCCCTTGCATTCCCCATTGCCTCCTGGGCACCTACACTACACTAGTGTAGTTCGGTGTTTTTTTTTAAGATGGGGCAATTAAGAAGAAGCCTTCTTGGACTGTGTTGTCAAGCTATTTGAAAACCTAATTTCTGGCTCCTGCGACACATCCCAAGTGAAGGAGCAGCCAGCTAGCATCTCTCCCAAACCGCTGCCCTTCAGAAGGTGCTCTCTGTGTGTATGTGCATGAGTGAGAGACATCTGCATTCCTTTTCTGTTCACCCAGCCACAGAGCACAAATCTACTTTGACACTTTTAGAAAAATGAAAAGATGGAATCTCGCAGGAGCCTGCCTGTGCCGGGGGGGTAGGAGGGGAGCATGCACAGCAGGAGGGAAGTTGACTTTTCTTTATACATATAGGGTTTTTTCCATGCAGAGTTTAAATTATGCCTGATAAAAGGAGTTTCGTGGATGTTTCAGCTCTTTCAAACCCTCCTGGCTTCCTCCCAATTAAATGAGGTTTGTCAAAGCCACAGGGCTCTGCTGCTGCCGGAGAGGCGGACAAGCACTTCCCGCAGTGACATCTCCAATCCCCAAGGGAGAAGATGAAAGTGTCAGTGCAGAGAGAGAGAGAGAGAGAAAAAAAAACAGGTACAGAGACAGACAGTGTGAGAGAAAGGGAGAGAGTGAGGAGAAATAGAAGGAATGAGAAAACAGATTGGCATAATGTGTCAATCTCTCTGACATGCTGCCAGAGAGGGGATAGATTCATTTCACCTGAGTTTATGCACTGTCCCATATTTATTATCCCCCATATTGCGGTGAGAAGTACCTTGTGGACAGGAAACCGCATGCCGTTATCATAGCAACGAATGTGTTGGGAACAGAATCAAAGTGCACAGGGCTGAAACAAGTACAGTATGATCATGCAAGACCATATTAATGAGTGACTCATTAAGCCTGTAAAAATTAGTAGGCAAGTCTGAATAATTTCCCATGTAGCCATCCCTATTGCCATAATCATGTAAGACATTTGTTCTCTTGTGTCACTTTGGCATCACACTATTTTGGAATTTAACTGTATCATTTTAAAATTCTTGTTGGTATGATAACACAGTGCACATTTTAAATATATGCTGTTCCCGCTTTCTTCTGGAGGATGCTGGCTATTAGTCCCCATCCTCTGAAGGAGAAAGTTAAAGCAGAAGGGCAAAGAATGAGGTGGAGATGAAAGGTGAAAAGAGGAGGGGGTTGATCCCAAGGTGTGTGAGAGAGTAAGAGGGAAACAACATTTGAAAACATAAAAGGTTCCCGTAAGAAATTATTTTCTTTTTTTATGAAATAATTGTATCCATAACTGTCATTTTTATAAGTTGCTATGACAAGCTGGAAGCTAGAGTATGTTTTTCAAGGGTCAGTTCTTGGGAAAAAATAATTGGGGAAATCAGTGTGTCGACGATAAGTACCCCTCCAAATAGCATGTGTCTGATTACTGAGGGGAATGCTAACGGCTAGAGGATGGCTGCTGCCCATAGGAAGGGGCAGAGAGAGCACGGGGCTCTCTGCTTCCTGGCGGTCAGCTCCTGCAGAGGGGAACAGGTTGCTGTTGCTTATACTTATCTGGATGCAAAGTGCTAGAAAAAAAGAGTAGCCCACGCTATAAGAGAGGAAGACCCTCTGTCTCCTGCGAGGGGCTGGTCCACAGATGGGCCTCTCCTACAGCTGCTCACTCCTGCACCTCTAGTGCTAGAAAGGGCTGGTAAGGCCCAGGTTCAAACCCCGCTCATGTCATTCTACACATGCCACCAGCACCTCTGGATATAGCAACAGAGGAGAGGAGCAGGGGATTCTCCAGCTTCCTTCCACTGTGGCTAGTAGCCTAAGGGGTGGCAGTGATGACCTTTTCTAAAACTGGAGCATTTGCTGTCCTTTTTCTGGGCTAAGCCGATCCTGAGACAATTATCTTTGTGAGGTGCAGCCCTGCACTAACGCATTTCTCATAAAACTTCAGTCTAACCCTTTGCCACCTGCTAAAGCAAAATGTTTTCTGTCCAATTAATCACTCCTGGAAGAACGATGAGATCCTTGAATCAAGAAAGCATGAGCTGTGATCTCAACTCAGTATCAGTCCTGAAGTGCAAAGGGTCTTCTGAGAAGGTATCTCACTCTGCTGTCAGACAGGCCAGACACAGTAACAATTGCAGCTTATTATTCTTAGTTATAGATTTAGTTTATTTTCCCTCTCTTTTGCCTTCGTGGGGTCGCAAGCAGGGCGGGTAAGCAGTGGGATTTGGGATTAGCACCAGTGCGCTCCCAAGAAAACATACTGCAAGAAGAGCTCTGGCCAAACAACCCAGACATACAGGCCAGGGAGGCCTGAGCTGGCACCTTAGATCCTATCCCCACGGGACTGATGTCCAGGCTCAGTATAGACCTTTCTCAGAGTTCAGGAGACATTCGACCCTGGGCATACCATCAGCATAGAAGTTAGTCATCAAGTCCAATTTGTTCTCTGTGAGGAGGATTGCATGTTGTGTGGAGGTGATCCTGGCTTTGACTAGGAGGGACTTGCTCCTTTTGGGTATGGCTGGTCTCCGGTTGTTACCTCCCCCCAGCAATCCAAAACCAGTGTGCTAGGTGGTGATGACACTGCACCGTTTCTCCCGCAACAGCCCACTATTCAGCTTTTCAGAGACAAGGAGGAGGAGGGAGGCTTGATGTTGACAGAGCACTGTCATTTTAATGCCTGTTGCATCTAAACTAATGCAAAGCAAGCGTAGGCAATGAGGAGGTTAAGGCTGCAAGCCATTCCCTCCGAAACCGTTTACTGTTAGGATTAGCCACCACTGGTAGATGTTATCACAGGGCACATATAAAGAAGAACTGGCTTTCATGGACATCTTGTTTGGGTTGGCTCGATTCCCTAGGTTCTTCTACATAGCTAAAAGGTTTATACAGTCACATTTTTTTACCTCTGTGCTTTGTCACCTCTGTATACAGCAAATGGATATCCTTCACTGCAAATCAGATACTGACACCTAGAAAGTGAAGTTCCCACCCTCACTTCACCTGGCCTAATCTCCACAGTGGTGGAAAGTCTGCTTGTGTAAATACTGACAGGATACTGAGGTTTTCTATTCTGTCATTAAGCCACCACCCTAGGAAAAAGCCATTGCAACATTACAGCAGATGTGTGCCAAGGGCACAGGCCTCTGGAGATGTTGCCCTGCTTAAGCCCTTCCCTGGGTGCTGGCCTGGAGCAGACATCATGCTGGCAGGTGCTGGGCCTTGCTTAGAAGCACAGGGTGAAGGGGAAGACAGGAAAAGAAGGAAGGTTTCCTTTGCTCCCTCCCCAGCTCATGCTCTTGCAAAAGCACAACTGGCACAAAGTTTGGCCCACATGACTTGTGGAAACAAAGTCCTACAGACATGGATCAAATGCTCTGATTCCCATTGATCTCAGGCCAGAGAATCTCTATAAAGGTCTTATTGTTCAGGGAGTTGAACTGCTCTTGGGGGGGAGTGCTGTTAATACCCTTCATGGAGGCAGACGCTATTGCATCAGAGGTTAGCAGATGTTTTTCTCTATTTTGCCAAATTGTAAGTTATATCTGAGGTTTCTTTAACTTCCATTTTCCCTTTAACACTCTTAAATGCAAATCTGAGAACATTTAGTTGTCTTGTTTGCTGTGAAAGACATCCAGACTGGAACTCCCATGTAGTCGTTTTCCATCCTCAGGTGCACTTCTGCCTTCACCCAGTTATCAGCAGAAAAGAGCAAATGGGGATGTAGTGATCAGATTTCTAAGGTACAAAAGTTAAAGCTAAGTTTGAGATTGTGACAGCAAGCAACCACGAGCCTAGGAACTCAATTAGCCTGAAAGACAACTATCTCATTATCTTTCCTAAAATGATATAAATACATAAGAATATAAAAATTTAAAATAAACTCTCTCTCTATTGACTGTCTAGATGACTGAATTTCACTGCTCAATTTCTTTAAACACCCACTTTAGTATTTATTTATTCTAAGCGTGAAGCAGCTACGATAATTAGACTGTCAGATTTGGTAAGTTAATGAGGAGTCACTGGAGTGGAAGGTTTTGCATTTGTGAGATTGCTGAAGGAGAGAAGCTCCGTGCCTTCGCTCTATCTCTTTTTTCTTTTTCTTTTTTTCTTCCTCCACTGGGTGGGAAGGAGAGAGCTTGGCAGTGCGTAGATCCATTTGAATCCTTTTGATTAGCGGGTTGCATTCCTACCACTGTTCTACCAAATAGTATTTTGCTGGTTGCTCCAAGAAAAAGAAAAAAGAAAAGAAACCGTAGATGAGATTTCTAGAGAAGGGTGCCTAGATTAAAGAAATAGTTTTCCAAAAAAAATCAGAAGGAATGGAGCTGTGAGAAATAGGATCCTGAATTAGTTTGTATTGTGGCTCATGTCACAGGAGAGCATTAGGAATGTAGCAGAGTGAGGGAAAAGGACCATTTTGCAGCTTTCTCTTTAACCTGATTCTTCCACAGGACAATCAGTGCTGACAGTTCCAGGAGTGACACTGCAACCTGAAATCTGTGACCTGTTTGTTTCTTACCGAAAAGGCCATCTCTCAGGAGGTTCAAGCAAGTTTTGGTAGAAAGCAGGGATGATTGACTAATTCTTGGGTAAGAATGTAGTTGCCACTGTCAAAGCTGCTGCCATCATCCTTAGCACATTAATCCCTTTGTATATTGAAGGTGGGAAAACAGAACTGATACCCAGGGCTGGATGACCACATCCGGGCTGAGGACAAAGTGGGGAATCTCATGTTCAAAGAGAAGAGATCAGCAAGCCAATGGCCCCCAGTGCACAATGCTCAGTGGTACTGTGGGAGGTTTGGGTTTGCTTCGTTGTATCCCCAAGCCTCAGAACAATGCCCTTTCCCCTGATGCCTCCCCAGTCAAAATATTGCTTCATTTCCCCATTGCTTAAACTGACCAAATTGCTTCATTCGCCTTTGTCCTTGTCGATGGGGTTCACATTTTATAGCTTGCTTGTTTTGATTTCACACACAATGGAACCTGAGCAGAGCTAGGCAAAGTCTCCTTAGCTCATAACATCCTTGGTTTTAATCAATCACATTTTTTAATATGACACACCTCAAAATGATGCTTCAGCATCAACATTTTTCATCTCCTTTTTGTTACAGAAGACCAGTGCTATTGAAAGAAATTACTGGAAAAATATCTTTTTATTATATCCTGTCTCTTTCTTTACTTTGTGCGTTTGTTAACAGCATGTGTCCAGTCGGTGTCACTGGCTGAGTCTGTGCTTGCAAGGCACACCTGGAAACTGATTTTGAGGCCAAATTAGTTTGACCGTCTTATTGTCTGCCAAGCTAAGAGGCAACCTAGCTGTGATAGCAGGGCAAACCTCAGCTACCCGTCTGTGCTTTCAAATTCATGTAGATGGCATGTACCTGCTACAGGATCAGGTCCCAGCACTCAGTGCCTGGTCTCACAGCTTCTCTCTACCCCATCTGCCCTTGTTAATGCAGACAACAGCAGGCAGACAGGACAGCCTTGAGTGCTTTCGAGAAGAACCTGACACTGCCAGCCCTGTGACCAGATTGCATTTTGGAGGCAGCCTGAATGCATTCGCTGCTGACCTGCTCAGCTAAGTGCAGACAGGGTGGCTGTTCCCTCTCTGTGATCAGCGAGGAACTAATCCTGCTGAAAAAGCTGTTGTCAGTTCCACTAAAGCTACTGGGACAACGTACTTGAGGAAGGCACTCATGCTTCAGTGTTCAATGAGCTTGGATTTGGCCAGTTTTAACTGATTTTGAGAGTATTTAACAAATACATAATTTAAAATAGTGAAACCGTGAAAATAGTAGGAGATACTTTTAAACATTCTCTTTTTTTTTTTTTTAATATTAACCTGGCCTCGAAGTGATTGTGTCCCTTTTTTTAAGCTGCTTACAAAATATACTAAACAAGCTTAAATGTCAACTCAAGTTTTCTTCTGCACTTCATTACAGGAAAACATTCTATAAGTGACGGTGTTTGTATTATTAATACTCTTTTTAAAAAAGGCCTATGGATTCAGACATGCAAGCAAGGTTAAAATGAAACAGTAATTATTTTTGTCATTTTAATAGACTACCAATGGAAAGCAGGGGGTTCTGTATGCTTTTTCAAATCTAATCAGAGATAGATAGGCATCTAAAGCACAACAGCCTCATGCTGGCACATGAGAGAATGGAATTTCCTGGGAACATAATGAAACTGGCCAGCCTTCCTTCATTGGCCAACCTGAGTTAAGTTACAAAAATAGACAGAACCAAAAAACTAAACATACCAGACTCAATCATGAATCCATGGGCCCTGAGCGACGCAGTAAGGGATAAAACATCACAGGCTCCTCCTTGTTCTCCTTCTGGTTTCAAGAAAGGGAGAGATACTGCCAGGTGTCTATCCCAGGGTGATACACACTCCATGCCAGCACTCCATCCATTTTCTACCCTATTC